ACGCCGAGGCGCACGAGTTCTGGAAGCACCAGGAGAAGCTGCACTGCCTGAGCCTCCTCTATCTGTTCTCCGTGTGCCACATCCTGCTGCTGGTGCATCCCACCTGCTCCTTCGACATCACCTACGACCGCGTGTTCAGGGCGCTGGATGGGCTGCGGCAGAAGGTGCTGCCCTCGCTGAAAGCTGCTATCAAGGACTGTCCTGTCGGCAAGGAGTGGAAGCTCAACTGCAGGCCGTGCCCTCCGCGCCTCCTCTTCCTCTTCCAGCTCAACGGGGCTCTGAAGGTGGATCCGCTGCCAAGCAGGGGGCAGGACCCCTGTGGTCACCTGGAAAAGCCGCCCCCCAAGAAGCATTCCCCCAAGAGGAGGCTGCAGCACGCTCTGGAGGATCAGATCTACCGCATCTTCCGCAAGAGCCGCGTGCTGACCAACCAGAGCATCAACTGCCTGTTCACCGTGCCCGCCAACCAGGCGTTCGTGTACATCGTGGCTGGAGGGCCCCAGGATGGAGACGATCCCGTGGCCATGCTTCTCGACCAGCTCAGGAGCAACTGCACCATGAGGGAGACTGACTCGCTGCTGGCTCCCACCCTGTCGGGACCCAGGAGGTACCAGATGATGAGGCACGGCCGGCAGCAGCTCTCCTTCCACGCCGAGAGCAGCAGCTCCAGCTCCAGCTCCTCTGGGCAGCTCGTGGACTGCACCCTCAAGGAGTTCTTGTGGCAGCACGTGGAGCTGGTGCTCAGCAAGAAGGGCTTTGAAGACAGCGTGGGGAGGAACCCGCAGCCCTCTCACTTTGAGCTCCCAACCTACCAGAAGTGGGTGGCAGCTGCTCTAAAACTCTATGAAGTGACCATCGAAGGCAAGGACGATGACCCGACCTGTGGCGAGCTGAGCTCAAAAATCATGAGCAGCATCAAAGTTTTGGAAGGCTACTTAGACATAGACACCAAATTCTCCGAAAACCGTTGCCAGAAGGCTCTGCCCATGGCCCACAGCGCCTACCAGTCCAACCTGCCCCACAATTACACCATGACAGTGCACAAGAACCAGCTGGCCCAGGCCCTGCGCGTGTACAGCCAGCACGCCCGGGGCCCAGCCTTCCACAAATACGCCATGCAGCTCAACGAGGACTGCTACAAGTTCTGGAGCAACGGGCACCAGCTCTGCGAGGAGCGGAGCTTGACGGACCAGCACTGCGTGCACAAGTTCCATCTGCTCCCCAAAGCAGGTAAAGGTGCTCACTCGTGCTTGGGTTTCATGGTTCAGTTTTGTATCTGTGTTAAAATGCCTTAGGCTGAAAGCGCCGGCTCTGAAGTGTTGTGGGAGGTGAAAGTTTGAGCTTTAAAGCGAGGTGTTCAAGGACTGGGTGTGGCACTCGGTGCTGTGCTCCGATTGACAAGGTGGTGACCAGGCAAAGGTTGGACACGATGATCTCAGAGATCTTTTCCACCCCAAATGATTCTGTGATCATCTCTACAGTGGGATCATAGCAGAGCTGATGTACAGGTTTCCTTTATGCTGAGTTTAGGAGCCAGCTCTTACTCTGATTTTCTTATTTTAGTAGTAACTCTGATTCTGTCTTAGCAGCTAAAAGCAATTGCACTGGAGTCCTCCTAATGAGAGGCGTGTAAGAACAAAATTCTCTAAAAAGCATGACCATCCCCCTTTGCTTTAAATAACATGGTCAATCAGGGAGTCAAAACTGACTTCTGCAGGTTTATCGCAGGCAGAAGAACTTTGAGCCTTCAGGAAGAGGTTGTAAAAACAAATAAGATTTGGTTTGGTGGTATAACCTCCACTGGAACTTTGCATTATTAAAAGTGGGGAAGGGAGGAGTTGCTTGACAAATATTTTGTATTTGTGTATAGCGGGGAGGGAGCAATGGATGAAGGGAATAAAGAAAGTTTTGAGTGGTGAGCAATTTGCACAAAGTTTGATTGATTTTGCTTTTAGGGGAAAAGCCAGAAGCAGACAGAAATCCCCCAATTCTGTACCACAACAGCCGGGCTCGTTCCACTGGTGCCTGTAACTGTGGAAGGAAACAAGCTCCTCGGGAGGACCCCTTTGATATCAAAGCAGCCAATTATGACTTTTACCAGGTAACTCTCAGGTCTCTTGGTGCTTCCAGCAGTGCTTTTGTTCCATCTGCAGAGTCTGTATTCTGAAGTGACCACAAGTTTCCTCTTAACCTTACCAACTTTTTGCTTGGGGGAGACATTTCTGGGAGCAGAAATGGGCTGACCAGGATGGGCAGTTCCAGTCTTTACCACACACACAGGAGCCCCAGTTTATGCAGCTGTTTACACTTAGAATGTGTTGGTCTGTGTGAATTCTAAATAATCAGGTCTGTGGGCCGTGTTCCCATCGCTGCTTTGGTTCTCACGTGGTGCAAACCTCTTGTATCTTAATTATAGCTGCTGGATGTTGTGACTCTGAGCTCCCTCATCTCAGGGTGGATACTAAACCACCTTTTCTTTCTCACAGCTGCTGGAAGAGAAGTGCTGTGGGAAACTGGAGCACATCAACTTCCCCATATTTCAGCCGAGCACACCTGACCCCGCGCCTGCTCGGGACGAGGCATCGCCCGCCCCTCCGGAGGGCGAGATGGAGAAACTCAAAGAGAAGGAGCCTCAGACTCAGGGAGAGAGCACAGGCCTGAGCTTAGCCCTGAGCCTGGGCCAGTCCACGGGCAGCCTGGGCACCTACCCAGCCGATGCCCAGGGTGCTGGGGACAACACAGAGAGCCACGGGCAGAGCGGGGACTCCAAGGGCGAGAAGAGGCCGAGCCTGGTGGATCGCCAGGCGTCCACTGTCGAGTACCTGCCCGGGATGCTCCATTCCAACTGCCCCAAAGGCCTTCTGCCCAAATTCTCCAGCTGGTCACTGGTCAAGCTGGGGCCTGCTAAGGCTTACAACTTCCACACAGGCTTAGATCAACAGGGTTTTATCCCGGGGACAAACTATTTAATGCCTTGGGACATTGTCATCAGGACGAGAACTGAAGATGAAGGAGACTTAGACACCAATTCCTGGCCTGCTCCCAACAAGGCTGTTCCTGGGAAAAGGAGCGCCGTGGTGATGGGGAGAGGCCGGCGCAGGGACGACATCGCTCGGGCTTTTGTGGGCTTTGAGTATGAAGATGCACGAGGGAGGAGGTTCATGTGCTCGGGGCCTGACAAGGTGATGAAGGTGATGGGAGGGGGGCCGAAGGAGTCGGCCCTGAAAGCCCTCAACTCCGACATGCCCCTGTACATCCTGTCCTCGACGCAGGGACGCGGCCTCAAGCCCCACTACGCCCAGTTCATGAGGCTCTTCGTGGTGGTGCCTGATGCTCCTCTGCAGATCACCCTGACCCCTCAGGTAGGGAGTGCAGAGGGAATCTGGGAGCAGCAGAGGCACGGCTGGTTGGGGAAGCATTAATTAAAACGGTGTCAAGAAACTCCAACTCAAACCTGCTTCAGCCCAGACACTTGTTTCCAAAATATCTGTTACATAAGCACTCAGGATTTCTTAAACTTCACATTTATACTTTATACAAAGTAAATTTACAAAAATATTTTACCACGGATAAGTTATTGGCATTCCCTGCTGGAATAATGGATTTTATTTAAAAAAAAAAAAAAAAAAAAAGCTAACAGTGACTCTTTAAGAATGACTTTGTCATTTTAAATGCCATGGAGAAAAGCAGTGACTCATTGCTCAATTATTATTAGTTACAAGTTGAATTTAAGAGGTGAAAAAATGTTGGTTTTCCTAGTTGGAGAATTCTTCACCGTTCCTTCTATTTTTCTTTCAATACACATTTGAAAAAAAACTCCATTTGCATTTTATTAACTTTTTGAGGTAGTAATGATGTTTGATCACCAACTTATGTTACCTTTTGCCTTTAGGTTCAGCCAGGACCACCACCCTGCCCTATATTTTACCCTGAGAAGCAAGAAATCACCCTTCCCTCTGATGGACTCTGGGTGCTGAGGTTTCCCTACGCCTACGTGACAGAGCGGGGGCCCTGCTTCCCTCCCAAAGAAAGCCAACAGTTAATGAGCTACAAGGTTCTCCGAGGAATCCTGAAAGCAATCACACAATGAGAATGGTTTTGGGTATCTCTGTTTGAGTTTAAGAAGGCTCTCTTCAATCCAGCTCGTGGGTTTTGGTTACCCAACTGTTGTCACTGCAATTGTGTGAAGCCCCCGCTGTATTTCACTGGAATGTGGTGAGATTGGAAATAAAGTTGATATCAAAGCAGGAAAAGGGATCTGAGACATGTAAATTTTCCATTTATTAAGTTTTCATATGTAAAGAATAAAAGCTGGTTTTCATAATGTGCTGATCCTGTCTTACTAGATGTTTTGATGACAGTGCTTTTCCCCATCCTGTATTTTATATACCTGTTTAGGAATATTAAAAAATTAGCACTGCCTGAAATCAAGAGTTTACTTTGTCATATTGAGGCAATGACGAGGAAAATATTTTTTCTGAACAAGCTGTTTGTAAGTTATACTTTTAATGTGATGTTAGGAGAAATCATTTTGTCTTTAAGAAAAAAAGATACTGAAGTTCTGATGTATAATAACAGCAAAGCCAGAAACTGCACTCACCTGTATCAAGTGCCTCTTAAGTGCCAAAAAATCAGCCACAGTAAATCGACTTTTAACTGAGGTAAGATGTAAGGCTGTATGCCGAGACCTAATTTAATTTCTAGAATATTTGTTTCTAATTAGCATGCACACATAATTTAATTTGCCAGTTTGCTATAGTACGGTAATTACACTCCATGACCGGAGCTGAGACCTGGTTTCTGCTCAGAATATGACATCTGTGAGGGGCTGGCTGAGGAAAAGAGGAAAAGACATCTCTTCATATGGAATACAACATTAGGGTTGGGGTTAGATGGTCTTTAAAGATCCTTTCCAAGCATTTCATGATTCTGTGATCTTTCAGGGGCTGGATGTGGGAAATGTCATATTCCTCCCATTTGGAATATGACATCGCTGAGGGGATGGATGAAGAAAACACATCCCTGCATTGGGAATGTGATATCTCTGAGGGATTGGGTGTGGAAAATGCATCCCTCCTGTTTGGAATATGATATAAGGGGCTGGACTATGATTTTATGACGTCTGAGGGGGTGTGTGGGGAAAGAGCATCCCTCCCTTTTGGAATTTGACGGATCTGAGGGACTGGGTGGGGGAAAACACATCCCTTCCTTGGGAATACGACTTCTCTGGGGGGCTGGGTGTGGGAAACTCATCCTTCCACCTGTGAGGAGAGAGCCGGCACAGCCAGGTGGAAAATAAAAGCGTATAATTGAGAATTTCCCCACAGCACTTGCTAAGTGCTTTTTGACCGTGACAGCCCCGCCCATGAGACGGGCGCTGGGCGGGGGTGTGGAACACACATCCCTCCACCTGCCAGCAGACAGCCGGCACGGCTCGGTTGGGAATTAAAGCGTTTAATTGGGAATTACCCGCGGAGCGATTGTGAAGCAGCGGCGGCTGCGGGCAGCCCCTCACGGGCGGGCGGGCGGGAAGGGAAGGGCTCGGGGCCGCCGCGCCTGCGCGCTGCGCTCCTGGCGGCGCCGGGGCGGCTGCGCGGGCGCAGAGGCTGCGCTCCCTCAGAGCCGCCGCCGCTGCCTCGGAGCCTCCGCGTCCCGCAGCGGCTCCGCCTCGCTGCGAGCCGCCCGCGGGCTGGGACACGGACACGGAGCGCGGCAGGACGGGCCGGGCCGGCCGCTGACAGGTGCAGGATGTCGGCCACGCTCTACGTGCTCTCCACGCTGGGTGGATACGTCCTCACCTCCGCGCTTCTCCTCAAGTGCCCGGGGCTGCTCCACCGGCCCAAGCGGCAGCGCTTTCGCTGCCGGCACATCTCGCACCGCGGCGGTGAGTGAGGGGCTGCGGGGATGGAGGGGAGGGGATGCGGGGGCCTCTTTGCTCTCTGCCGCTCCTGAGGGACGGTCCCAGCCCGGCTCCGGGCGCTCCGCGGCCCGCGGGCGCTGCTCCCTCACGACCCCGGGGCGCTGCTCGGGCCCCCGGGCACGGGAGGCTCGTGAGGGGCTGCGCGGTGCCCGTGCCTTGCAGCGGGGCTCCCTTTAAACCTTCCTCCCTCAGCCTAATTTTAGGTGCCACCTGCTGACCAGTGCCTCGCTTCAGCGCGGAATTCATCTCCGAAGTCCAACCGCGCCAGTCGAAAATCAGCTTTTTTTCCTATTTTTTCCTTTTTTTTTTTTTTTTTTTTTTTGGGGCGTGATGTTACAGCACAAACACGTCTATTTTTTTTTTTTTTTTCTTTCTGACGATTCTGTATCCTGGTATTTCTCTCCCCAACCAGACGGGCGTCTGGCTGTTGCTTAGGTCAGGTACAAGAGAGCAATTTTCTTGCCTCTGCCCTCCTGTTTGCTTTGCTTGCTGCTTTCAGGGGAAGCAGAATTTGCTGTGACTCTGTTCTTGTTCCCCTCGGTGTTGCAGGCAGACAGTGAATGGCTCAGTGCCCTGGTAAAACCCTCTTGCATTTGAAAGTCAGGCACGTTGATTCTGTCTAAAATAGGCTTTTAAGTTTCTCCCACCTATTCCAAAGCATTGGGAGGGGGAAATGCAATAAGGTGTGTCTTCCTGTTGTGTAAAGATCAGCTCTGTGCTCTTCCCTGCTGCCTCACCTAATTTTTGAAATAGGTAGTTTGCTAGTAAATATTTTTCGATATTTTGTGTGAGAGATGTCTAGTGCTGAGTTTAAACAGTTTTCAACATCAAACTTAGTGCCAGTTTATGCAGGGGTTGATCACAGTTTTAGCCAGTGGTCCTTAACAAATGCTGTTTGTTGTCTTGAATTATCATAATATAAAAATTGGAGCTGATCTTGTAATGATTTTATTACTGGCGCTTCTTTCATTTTCTTCATTTGGCAGTTTAAGTTTCTTTGTAACTATAGTTTTAAGTATAGCACAAAATGTAGCTCTTTGTGTGGACTACCTATATTACCTGTTACTTGGTAGTTATATTTTCCCTTCAGCGAAAGAAAAGATTCTCAATTTTAAGGGTTTCCTAGTTTGGTTTGGTTTATTTGTAGGCTGTTAAAAACTTGCAGGCGACTTTGTTGGAACTTGGAATGATCCTTTAATCCTCTGTTCTCGCTCCTTCGCAAGCACCTTGGTTAAGATCCGCAGCCCCGAGCCTGGAATGCGAGGGCTCGGGCCGGTCGCTGTAAGCTCCATCGGAACTGCGGGAAAGCCTCGCTTAAGGCAGGATTATTCCTCAGGCACTCAAAGTCCACGCTCTGCGATTTGTTCTGTGAAATCCACCCGAGGCAGGAGGGCAGCCCTGGATGTTGCAGCAGCTTTTTGCCCATCTGAGGCTGAAGATCCCTCGTGCTTTGCTGTCCTCGGTGTTTACCCTGTAACATAAATTCCTGCGGGACTCGAGTTCCCGGCTTTAGTCACGCTGTAGCTTTAGACTCAGTGTCAGGTTTCCTATTGCATTACTCCAATTAGCTTGACTTGTTTGGCTTTTTCCTCTCTGGGATCAAACCTTGTGCAGTCAAGTTTTTAAGTCTTGATTTGTCTTGCTTTTTCATTCAAGAATTTTGTCACCTCATTTTGTAGAATCATCCCTGAATTATTTCTTCATGTCTGCATAATTTTATAAATGGTCATTTCTGAGGGCAGTTATTGAGTCTTGATATTCTGTGTTGGAGTCCTCTGTCAATGCCAGCAGCCCTGGGTTGCAGGGTCTCTCAGAGAGGGTGGCATGATGGTTTTTACACAGAATAATTCAGATTGGAAGGGACCTCTGGGGATCTGGACATCTGACCAGAGCAGGCTAACCAGGACCTGGTCCAGTTAGGTTTTGAATACATCCAGGGATGGAGCCTCCACAACCTCTCCAGGGACTCTGTCCCAAAGTTTGCTCACTCTTACAACAAAAAAGGGTTTTTTTCTTACATTTATAAGCTGAATTTCCTGTATTTAAACCTGTTCCCATTCCTCTTGTCCTTTCCCTGAGCACCACCAAGAAGAGTTTGGCTGAGTCTTTTCTCCCTCCCATCCAGTATTTCCATGTGTAGGATCCTCTCCAGACAGAACAATCCCAGCACCCTCAGCCTCTCATCCCTGATTTTCACAGCCCCTCCTTGGATTAACTCTGGTAGATCCAGGTCAGTCTTGTACTCTGGAGCCCAGATGTGGGGCTGGGGGTGGTTTCAGCAATGCTGAGCAGAGGGGAACCATCACCCCCCTTGACCTGCTGGCCCCAAAACCTCCCTGAGGGTCTCCTCGAGGCAGTGCTGGGTGCTGGCTCCCTCTTGGCCATGGTGGTGCTTGCAGAGAGGGAATTGGTGCCGCCCTCATGTCTGGCTGTGCCATTTGGGCTGGGGAAGGTCTGTTCCTCACAGGGAACGAGCCCATGGGGCTGGAAATGTCTTTGAGGAAGTGTGAGGAGCCCTTTGGTCAGCCCAGCCTTCTCACTTTTCTGGGAGAAAATTACTTTTATCCAATAACTCGTGTAGTTCCCCTTTCTGCGTGTGGTTGCTGATTTAGAATTCCTCTTTCAGCTGATCTCTCAACTTTGTTCCTCATTTCCCTGAAATGCTCCAAGTCAGGCATTTGACTCAGCACCCCTGACCTGTCACCATCCCTGGCCCTTGACCACCTCCCTGCCATGTGATTTCTCACATCAGCCACTTGAAACTTTTATCTTTGGAACTTTCTGCCCAGGAATGTCAGGCTGCTCTTGCTTTGCTCACAAATGGAAGACTTGACTCAGGTGTTTTGGCCCTTCCCTCCCCGTTCAGGATGTCTGGGCTGGGTTGCCCCAGCTGATAAGTTATCTAAAAACCTCAATCATTATTGCAGTTAATTTGTAACTGATCAGCCAGGCCCTGTGCAGGGGATTCCCATTTGTTGGGCAATCTCCAGATGGGCACCATGAGGTTCTCCTGCTCTCCTTTGTCCCTTGTTCACTTTTGCTGCTCAGCCAACTCCCAGTGCAATCAAATCCCATAAAATGGTGAATATCTAATCACAGGAGCTGCTGTGCACTCACCATATTGTTTTACACTAAACCCTGCAGATTTTTGTCATCATGCTTCTAAGTCTTCCATTTTGTACACCTGCCTGAGAACAACAATTTTAAATTGGTGCTTGTGCGTTGCTTTAATTAAGTAACTGAGCACAGGTTTAGGTAAGTATGTCCTGGTGAGGTCTTGTTAATAGGCAAGGCCTTAATTGGAGCTCTTATAATTGCTGTTTACAAAGTCTGTCATTCATTGCTGTCAGAGAGCAGCTGGAATTTGCATAGATATCTTCATCAGCACGTGTATCCTCCCGAGGTTGTTTTGTTTGCCAGTCTATAATATTGCATATTTTCTGAGGCACAACCTCAGGAAAAGGCACAATCTTTTCCAGTCCCTAACCAGGCTGATTTTCAAAGATCTTTATGCAGAGATTGCTGGCTTAGGACTTGCAGAGTTTAATCCTGCCTGAGAGAAAATTAAATTTGCTTGTCCTTTCATTTCTTAACTGAATGGATGTGTTTGATTCCTTGTGAGTGAGAGCTCCCTTCTCCTGCAGCACAAACCTTTATTGACAGATTTGTGCTCTTTGCACTGAACAAAGAGCTTGTCACCTGTGTCACCCCAGCTGGGTTATACATTTAGGGAGTGTCAGCTTTAGAATTCCTTGGGTGCTTTAATTCATTGCTTTTTTTGTTATTTTTTCCTCTTGTTACTCTTCCCACCAACTCTCAACTCCATTTTTGCATGTAATTTCCCTATGCCTGTGGGGCTTATTGTCCCAGCTAAATACCTCTGGTAAAACAAACACTTTGGTTTGAATATTCTAAATGTTACACAAACCCAAGAGAAGTTCTTTTTTAAAATCATTTTACTTGGAGAAGGTAATGTCTGTCCAGGACATTGGTGGTAACAGAGATTTCTGGTTCATGAGGATTTCATCCTCATTTCTCAAAATATGTATATTTTAAAACCTGCTGCTTTTTAATTCTGTAAAAATTCTGTAAAAATTCTGTAAAAATTCTGTAAAAATTCTGTAAAAATTCTGTAAAAATTCTGTAAAAATTCTATAAAAATTCTACTAAAAAATTCTACTGAAAATTCTACTGAAAATTCTACTGAAAATTCTACTGAAAATTCTACTGAAAATTCTACTGAAAATTCTACTGAAAATTCTACTGAAAATTCTACAAATTCTATATTAGTATTAATTAATCCTATATTAATATTAATTAATTCTATAATTCTATTATTTCTATTAAATCAGTGGGATTGAGGGGAGGAAAAGGATTTTGTGTAAGTTTTATTTTTGTTGTTTCTGCAGGTGCTGGGGAGAACCTGGAGAACACAATGGCAGCCTTTCACCAGTGAGTACAGAAGGATGAGAATCTCTGACTTTGGTGTTCTCAGTGTCTTTAGTGAGTGAAGCCACCAGGGGAGGTGGGAATTCCTCAGCTCTGTGTCCTGTTTCTGGAATCAGCTCTCCTCTGGATAACTCTGGATTGCCAAATCCACTCCAGTTCCACCAGAAGGAGTTGGGATACCACAAATCATGGTCTGTGCTCAGTTACAAATGGAAACAACCCCTGAGGCCTGAGCTGTGCTAAACCAGCAAACAATGCTGTGCCTGCTGGTGATTACTGCTGTTAATTAATTTATCACTATAAAGCAGAAAATGCTGCTGTTCATGGGTTTTCCTGCACTCATGCAATGTGTGAAAGCCTCTTACTCAGGGGTTT